GTGAATTACTGTGCTTTTTTTTTACAAAATGGGTTTGCAACCAGGAAAAGAGAAGATACAGGCACCTGTTCCGAGAGGGAAGCAACATAGAACTGTATATGTTATACCAAAATCATTTGTTGATACATAACAGATCACTATGCAACTGCATAATAAGGTTGAGGGATGAGATTATATGTTCAAATAGGTATACTAATTAGAAAGGACATGTACATCCACGTATAGAGAACGTGACGGTGAGAAAATGACAGAGATTCAGCACTACAGTGAATTATAAATGTCAAATTACAAGGATGCATGTAAAAAAAGCTTGTAACTGTTAGGAACTAGACTCTGTATTCATGTGAAAGCTGTTGCCTTTATCATCTTCTTAGATCCCTCTAAGGTGTTCTGTCATTCACTGTCAAATTTTCTACGTAAGATAGTAAGACGTATGTCACACAAGTGTCCAAAACTGCTCCTCTGCCTTTGTCAGGACACACCAATATATTTAGAGGGATTTGTAAGCAGAAAGAATATTAAGCAGGAGATCTGCTTAAGCATTAGCAGTTAGTTACAGAATTGTTCCCCCTTGGATGTGACAAAATATAACACATGCCCAAAATGTAGGGGAAAAGGGAAGCAGCAAAGAGTGTTCAGACGTCTGTGGGCTCAATAGGTTGTTGGAGAGCCATAGTCTGCACAATAAAAATGGATGCTAACTGAATTTTGATGTGCAAGAGCATGTCTTTAATTTGCAAGGTATTTTTTTAATTAAAAGGTAAATAGCATTTATTATTCTTCTCGCAGATCGAGAGCAGCAATAACACCTACAGAGCTCTCAAGACACCTGGAGAACTTCTTTGATGCATCTGGTCCATGGGGTAGGTACATTTAACAATTGACTACTTTAAGTGATATTTTTTGTTTTTACACAATATTGGTTATTGCTTCTAAAAATTTCTAAACATCGGTTGCAAGATATTAGATGAAATCTGTAAAATACTCAACTATGAAAGTATGGTGAAAGTCCCTCCCCAAGTGTAATTGCCTGGCAAGACATTTACCATGGTGCAGATGACTTGCATTAAGCCAGGACTTCAAGTGAATATGAAAGTGCAAAGTCTGTCTGCACAAGTTATGTTCAGACCCTTCTGCACACAGGCCTCACAGAATGCTGCAGAGCAGCACAGCTTCTGAAGGTTCCTTTTCTTAGCTATATCCTCTCCTTCAACACAAGCCTCCAAGCGTTATAGTTCATTTCCTCTAAGGCCTTTGAGACTCAGCACCCCATTACAGGTTTAGGGCAGTTGTAGTTCCTCCAGCAGAACCCATCCTCTGGCCAGGGTGCTCCTCACTCCCCACATGCTGAGGTGAGTCCACGGCTGCACCCACAAGAAGCTCTCTGAAGGTTTCATACATTTGTCAAACAGAGCAGCTGAAGCCCAGAAAGGAACCGAATGGGAGGCAGTGCCAGTTCAGAGGTGGGTGTTGAGTGTGGCCGTGTCACCCTGCTCACCTACACGGCTGCACTCTGAAACCTGAGCATCTTCTGCAGGCTGCTCAGCAGCACTCAGCAGCCACAACTGCTGTGAAGGGGAACTGCCCAGCTCTGAGAGACAGATGCCTCTCTTGCCAGTGGTCTGTAGGGACAGCATCTCCAGGTCAGCTTTTCCAGTGGGTGCCAGTGGTCTGTAGGGACAGCACCTCCAGGTCAGCTTTTCCAGTGGGGAGCCCAGCAGCTCACATTTTGTTAGGTTTCTTGAAGTGAGTACAATGGCTGGGAAGAGATGCAGGCTGCTGACACCAATCTCTCTAATATGTTAAAGCTGGATCATGTTCTGCTCAGAGGGTCTGATGGTATCAGCCTCCAGAGAATCAGTGTCTGACACTCCCAGTCTGTTGTTCATATTGGTTTGGTCTCAGCTGAGCTATTTCTAACAACGAAGAACATATCTGAGCGAGTTACAATTTGCTGTAATCATATTTTTCCAGTTTTTCTCTGTGATAATTACTCCCATAAATATCATTGCTTCACCTCAGCTCAACAGAGTGCTCTCTGTTTCTGTGCTCAGTCTCAACCTTCCGTACTTGGATTGCTGGGGAAGACCAATGATAGCATTTGTTGCTACCAGAACCACTCCAGCTATGGGGCTGTTGGGGCTTCCCGAGCTAGTTCTGTTTTTTCACAGTATTAGCTGTTAAAAATTGCTTTCTGAATTGAAAAATGTTGAAGAAAATGCATTAAATTGCACCTATGTTTAAATTAATTAGTTAATGATAATGATAGTAATAATAAAAAGGTTTGACTTGGTTTTCAACCATGCAGAGACTTGCAAACCAGAAGCCAGGATGCAGATTTTCAGTGAAATGTCTCTGGCTTTACTGCTGGTCCCTGGGCTTAATTTTAATGACAGAGAGTGTTTTTAATGTAATCAGTGGGCTGAAGACCTCAGGAATTCCAGTCCCTAGCAGGGACACTAAAAGCTTTTCTGATAGACCCTTAAAGCCTAAAGACTTTTTAAGAGTATTGTCTATTTTTGACTGCTGGTTAAGAGTTACAGAAACATTTCAACTTCAAAGTGCCAGGCACCAGCAGTACCTAGAAAGGAGGTGCTTGGTCTGAGACCTTAAGGTGCAAGTGAGTACATGGAAAAGAAAAAGAGGCAAGAATAGGAAGATTGCTGTTCCCATTTTAAAAGTGGTGAAATGTGGCAGAAGACTAAAGGACTAGATAAAGTTACCTCTGTTGCCTATGGCAGACCTGGCATTCGAAGCTACGTCTCCAGATTTCTAATGTACCCTCTTAACTACAAGGCCATTCTTCCCCTCCGAGAAATGATATATAGGTATATAAATGTGCATTGATGTAATGCCAAGTTATAAACCACAAGCCTTTCAGAACTCATGTCCCTGATAGATTACAAAAGAACTTGAAGTCAGGAGAATTGTGGTTTGTCTGACCTTATGCTAATCATTCTCCCTACTTGTGTCTTGGTCAAACTGAAAATGGGTAGAATAATGAACCCTTTTGAAAACCGTAATTTCTGGGTGTTGGTCATGACCCAGTTTTTATAAGTTGCTAGGATATGAGTATAATCAGGGAAATGAAGATTCTATCTTATGAGACAAGACCGAAAAGCTTGATTTAAACAAAAGAAATGATGAGAAGGAATATTAGTACACTGTGAGGGGAGTAAATATCAGAACTAATTAAGTTCAAGGACAAAATTGGCATCCGAACAAATGGATATAAACGGGCCCCTAATAAACACAGCCTGGAAATCTTGAGCCAAGTTATGAGATTCAGGAACAGTTTTCCAAGGGGAATAGCAGGGCCAGAGAAAGTAAGGGCTTTCAAATGGATCTCAATCAGTTTGTGAACTGGGTATCATGCCTGAGAAAACCAGAGAACCAGACTATCAGTCCAGGCGAGTCCAGTGTCCCCAGGAAAAAGCCAGGACACCACCAGGATCAGGGGGTGTTCTGGAAAAACATTGTGACTGGCTACTTCTGTCTCAAATTCCATCATGTGTATTTTGTTTTTTAGGCTCCTCAGTTCAGAATATCTTCAATTCCCTGATTATCTCACCAGCCTCACACTTGAGATGTTATTCAACATTTCCAGGTAATCCTTCCCTGCTCTCAAGAGCTGATGCAGGAGCAGACCTGGAACAGGTCAAGGTAACATTGAACAAGGAACTCCTCGTGTTGGCTGCTGAGGATGGGAGAGTGGGGTGGTGGCAGGGGCGAGCACGGGCAAATGGCAGGGCCGCGTTCCTCTCGAACGGCTGAAGCCTCTGTGCAAAGGCTGGACGCTACCCCCACGGCGCAGCCCTCTGGAGGGGACGCCAGCCGAGAGCCTGCTGGCAGTGCCTTCCTTCCCGAGGGCAGGCGACCGCTCCTGCTGATGGGACAGAAGAGCGCAGATGCTGGCGCGGCCCCGCACCTCCGTTGTCCTGCCACGGGAAGGGGGGGCTGACCCGGCTCCCCTCCTTTCCCTGCCCTGCCTGTGCCCACACCCTCGTCCCCGGCCGTCACCCCGCGTGGGGACATGGCCTCGGGCGGGGCCGGGCGCGGCGGGCGCTCCTCGGGCGGGGCCGGGCGCGGCGGGCGCTCCTCGGGCGGGCCCGGCCCGGCCCGGCTGCGGCCCCGTGCGCGGCCAGCAGGGGTCCCCGCCGCTCCGCCCCGCTCCGCGCAGGCGGGCTGAGCCCGGGGGCGGCCCGGCCCGGCCCCGCTCCGCGGGCACCGGCACACCCGGCAGCGCCCTCCCCCCGCCACAGCGGCGGCGCTGCCGCGGCTCCGCTGGTGCGGGACGCGCCGGCCGGGCCCGGAACGCCCCCGCGCAGCTTCCGCCCGGCGCGGCTCGGGCCCGGGAAAGCGGGACGGGCGGAGCGGCAGCACCCGGCCGGGATGGGCGGCGGCTGCCGGGAGACAAAAGGCCGGCGCGTGTCCGCCTCTGCGGCAGCGCGGGGTGCGCGGCCGCTGCCCCTCCCAGGGCCGCCTGCGGCAGGGACCGGGGCCGCCGCCTGGCCGCAGCCCAGCCGCCCTCCCCGCCTCGCTGCGGCTCCGGGAAAACACCGTCATATGCGAAGGGTGATAGGCGGCAGCGCGGCGCAGGCAGCCCGCGGGGGCAGGCGGTCTGTGCCGAAGCCCGTGTGCAGTGTTAACCCCGGGCAGCAAGCGGAGAGAGGGTAATAGAGCGGGTCTTTACAAACCCGTGTGTAGGTGTGATGGGAAAAAGAAAGGGAGCGGCCACCTTTTATTAGGCACTGAATCTCCTGAATTATAAGTAGCGAAACCCCAACGCCGTGACACTGTGCTGGTTGGGGTTTTATTCTCTGGTACAGCATTCTGTTCGTTACCGTGTAAGCGGTGCCGATGCGTGCGGAGGCACGGCAGAGCGTGACTGCCGGAGCGGCACCGGGCGGTGCCCAAAGTTCCCGCTGTCCCCGCAGCAGCAGGAAGCAGCATCCCTTTGGGTTGAGGGGCTGGGGAGGGAGGGAGGGGCTGCTGCCGGGCTGCCCCCTCGCAGCCGCCGCCGCAGCCCGCCTGGCTTCCCGTGAGGTCTCCCTGGAATCGGGAGTGAGAGAAGCAAACTCTGAAGTTGTGCCCGAAGAAAAGTTGCCCGACTAGAGAAGTCGGGGGGATCCCGAGTGTCGCCACCCGCTCAATCCTGTTTGGTCCTGGGTTCTTCCTGCTTTTTCTGCAAACCGAGCGGAAGGGCAGGGTTTGCCTAGGAAGCTTGCCGTAGTCTTATGCAGACAAGGGGAGAAAGGAAACGACACGTCTTCAGAGCGGCACCTCGCCTTGTTCAGTCTTCTCATCTCCTGGCCAGGGTTGGAATGGAGGCTGAGGGCGGCTTGAGCAGTGCTGGTGCCGGCTCTCCGTAGTCGTAGCCCCTCCTAAAGAAAACACGTCTAAGCCCTCGTGGTGAAGAACCAAACCCAACAAAAGTTGGATCTTTTTCGGAGAGGGGCCGGGGGCGCGGAGCCCTGCGACTCCGTTCGCGGAGCGCTCGACAGCGGCGGAGCGCTCGCCGCGGCTGGGACTTGACCTGCAGAGGGCAATAGTTGGACGCAAATGCCAACAAAGGCAGCGGGGCTCGCTGGCTCGGCGCCGCGGCCGGGACCCGAGAATGCTGTGTAGGTAGGCAGCAGTGTTTAATTAATGTATATTGAAACAAAAGATCGGGTAAAGTGTTTGGTTTGTCTTTAGGCTACGTTTTTAAGGCTAATCTAATTCATAACTGTTAGACTTCTATAAAGACATTAACACAAACTTCCAGGAAAACCATGAGGTTGACTCCACAATTACCCCAAATGATAATTGTTTACCGGAACGCTTACATTCAGCTGCTTGGATTCGTATTATTTGCGTTATTATTCTTTGCGACTCAGACAGGAGAGATGGAAACGACGGGGAACTTTCCTAATTGTTGTAGCGATTGTCAGCGCGACCGCGCAGACTTTGTGGGAGGAGGCGGCAGGCGCCCGGCGCGGCGGAGCGGGGCCATTGTGTGCGGGGCCGGGCCCCGTTCAGCACCGGCGGGCGGACAGCTCCGGCCCGGCCCGCAGCCTCCGCTCGGGGCGAGCGGATGGGAACTCGCCTTCGCCTGCCCTAGCAGTCCTCCTCCCCGCTGGTAATGGATGCATCAGGGAGTGGAAAAGAGCTCACTTTGTCTCCCCGTCGGTGCGTGTAGATGCGGCTGCCGTAGGCGTCTGTGGCTTGTGTACATAGATGGCTTTAATAATTACACATAAGGCTCTATAACCTCGTAATTCAGGGAAGACTAGAAAACGCGACCAAATTGGAGTGTTGGCAGCAGGGGTGATTGCAGGTCTGCATGCATACTCTTCCCAACTCGCCGCCCCCTCCCTCCCCCCCCCCCCCCCATATTTATCTGAGATTATGTCAAATTTCAGTGATCGGAAATGTCTTGCCCAAGCCCCATTCCTGCTGGAAAAAGTCAAAAGGGTTCCTGGCATTAACTCGACCTTGCATCATTCCTGATGAAATTAGCAGAGCTACTTGTTTAGAGCTTTGCTAAGGATGAGCTTTGGTGACAGTAAGAAGTAAGGAATTTGGGGTTTAACCCCACGTCTGAGCAGGATCCATCTGCTTTCACTGGCTGCAAAGCCTGAGACCAGCACTTGAAAGCGCCTTAGACCCGCAGTCCATTTTTCACTTGTCTTTAAGTGCAAGCGATGGGAATTGCTAACCTCGGCTAAGAAAATTTCATTTTCCCCATCCTGCTAAACGGTTCTGGTCGACATATGTTTGTTATCAGAGAGAGGTGCTATGAACACAGAGCCATTTTCTTAGCAGCTCTTTGACTCTGTGTTACCATAGTCCCACACGGCATTGGTCCTTTCCCGTTGGGAAGTCATGAATAAGAGACTATGAAGCTTGCACGTCAGATCTTCCTCAATTAATCCACCATTAGCATGTTCGGGATCCTCTACTGGATGGTTAACAGCAGCTTTGGTAACTGTGTGCTGTCCATACCCAATTATGCTCTGCTAAAAATGAACTCTGCAGAAGAACCTTCCTGAGCTGTCAGTGTCTCCCGTTTTCCTATTTTAACGCTTGTGTGTAGTGGCAGGCGACAGATGGTGTAGATCAGATCGATTTGATTGCATTAGGCGATTTTTTTTTTCCTCCTCTCCCCCCCGACTCCTTTTCTGGAAGCCCACATTCATCTGAGAGGCGATCGCCGGGGACATGGGAAGCAGGAGCAGCCGCCGATGTGTGAAAGCAACGAGACATGGCCAGCCAGAGGCGCCGGGGTCCCTTCACGGGGTTTGTTAACATGGTAATCCGGCACCAGGAGAGAAAGCTGCTTTCTGCTGCCTAGAGCCCATTCCCCATCACACATCAGATGACTCCCTGGCTTTACACACAGTTGGAGTTCTGCTCGAAACCTGGATTTAAAGGGTAAGCGCTTCAATAGAGGTGGATTTCTGGTGGTTACTCGGGTAGGTGGCAAAAGGAGCTATCTTTCAGCAATTTTAAAAAGAGGCTCCCTTTGAGTGGGCATGAATATTTTCTTTCTTTCTTCTCTCTCGCTTTTTTTTTTTTTTTTTTCCCTGTGCCCCCTCCCCTTTGACCAGCGAGCCCCCTAATTCAGAACAATTTCTCACACGGAAAGACATCGCGCCTCTCTGTTGACGGATGGGGTCAATATCCCCCCCCTCTGAAATTTGCTTTTCGTGGAGAGCCCGAGCTCCGCTCAGACCTTCGCTCCTGATAGCTTAATTGTTTTAATTCCCTCCATCCGATCCCCTCCCTTCTGTGTGTGTGTGTGTGCCGTGTGTGCGTCCCCCCTCCGCGGGCACGGCAGAGGAGGCGGAGGTGCCCCCCGGGGCCCTTCCCCGGCCCCGCCGGTCTGGCGCTCCGGCACCCGGGCTCTTTTTGCGCGGAGCGGGGCGGCAGCGCCGATAAACATGGCTTTCCGGAGCCGGTGAACAAAGGTATTTAGTGCCGCGGCGCGCCGCCACGGGCACCTCCCGCACGGCGCGGAGAAGGTGCGGGCGGGCAGCGCGGCGGGGGCTCGGTGCCCCCGTGCCCGGGGCGTGCGGCCGCCGGGAGCGCCGGGCCGGGGCGGGCAGGGGCGCGGGGCTGGCAGGGCCCGGCGGCGGCGGCGGCCCCGGGAGCGGCGCTCGGCGCTGTCCGTGGCCGCGGGTGCTGAGGGGCCCGCGGGCAGGGGTGCGGCGGGCCGGGCCGGTGCGGGGCGGCGGGGCTGGGCACGGGAAGTTTCGGCAGGCGCTGTGTTAGCGGGAGTACTGGGGGGGCTGCTGTTCGGGGAGGGGAAGGGCAGTGTCAGATGGACACAGCGAGCACAGCGCTGGCGCCGCGCGGGGCTGCTTTTCCCCGAGAATCGCATTCTTTAATATTAAAAAAAAAAAAAAAAAACAAACCAAAAAACAAACAAACAAAAAAACCCCAACCCTACGCAAAGTTTGGATTTCTGCCTAATTCTCGATGCATTTGTGGAGCGCCTCCCAATTTCGGAGAATATCAGTCTAGGGTATCAGTATAGATTTGTTTTCGCCATGACTCGGTGCATTTCACTTTTTCAAACGGCTTTTGTTCAAGTTGAAGGAAATCCACTGCATCAGTTGAGTTCCAATGTCAGCTAATGGGGTTACAGCCTTCAGTTTCACAGCGGGGAAAAATTACAGTGTTTGTTATTTACTTTCCAGCTGCCATTTAGAATATGACTAGAAAGCTTGCTCTGTTAGAGGGTACAGGAAATAAAACCTAATATGAGATTAAAATAGAGGAGAGTGTGTTGGAAATAATTTTTAAATTATTTAAGGTATAGCTATCAAAGTATTTATTTTCTCTTTCTCTCTTTGTTTTTCTCATTTCTTTCAAATTCAAGTAAGAGTATGTGATACAAAACAAATGCTGTCTTCTCGTATGTTTTCATAGGAAGCATAGTGGTAATACGTCAACGGAGGCAAGGGCTCATGTTAAGGAAGAAATCTGTAGAAACAGCAAGCATCTTGTATTAATTTCAGTTGGAATCTAATCAACAAGCTGGTCAGTCACCGAGTGCAGTGGATAATGAGGGCTGTGTGTGCTGCATAATTACTCGTGGCTGAAGAAGTGCGGAGTACCCCTGCTCTGCGCGGGTTCGGACCGTGCGGTGCTAATTTCATTGCCCCCTCCCCACCACTCACACGGAAGCTGTTCTCAGCATCAAGAGCCGGGGTGAAATAGCACGGAGAAGTTCCTTAGCGCTAGGCGAAGTGTGCAGTGCCATGACGTTGCAGAGATCCTTTCTATTTAGTTGGCGAACAATAAACGTTTATTATCACCGCGGCAGATCATCAGACAAAGCTTCCCCCTCCCGCCTCCCCCAGGCACGAGCGCTGCTGATAAGGGAACTGCTCCGGGTGACAGGCAGAGCCGCAGGCGCCATTCGGAAATAACTTCTTTTATTATTGTTATTTTTTTCCCCCGGTTCGCCTTTTGCAAACCTTGGCAGGGCGGCGGCAGGTGTCGGGGCGGAGGTGCGCTGCCGCCGCCCCCGCCCGCGCCGCGGAGCCGCCTGCCCGGCTCGGCGCTCGCAGCCGCCCGGCTCCGCCGCTCGGGCACACGCGGGGAGCGGAGTGCGCTCAATCTGTACTTTGAAGCCTTTTTCGCCTTAGGTTTTGATGGCTCTAGGAGGCCTGACAGAGGAGTGCCTCTGCTGAGATCGGAGCCTTTGCTATTTTTTTCCTTTGATTTTTTTTTTTTCCCCTCTCCATCGCCTTCCTTTCCGCCCTCCCTCCTCTCGGTAGCACATCGAGTCAGTGTGAGTCAGGACTTGTAAAATGCATTTCCAAAGCCCAGATGAAAAGTCTCTCAGGCGTGTCTGCTGCTTTATCGGAGCCTTCCCAAGCCCACCTATGCAAACAGATTTGTAATATTTGTGTGCTTAACCGTGCATCTCTTTTACAGGAATCTGTTGCTGCGTATGACATCTCTCGCAAGCTCCCAGAGAGAATTGATGGAGCATACAGCTAGGGAATAGGATACCAGAGAAGCACAGAGAAAGAATCCAGGCAATCACCAGGTAAAGTCAGCCTTACTTTGATTTATTTCCTTTCATCTCGCCTGCAAGCTCTTGCCCGCTCCAGCAAGGGAGCAGGAGAGCAGAGGGACTGTACGTGTGTGTATTAAATGCCTACTCCTCTCGTTCACTTCCTTAGGATGGGAAGGTTCAGCGTCCACTGGATACGGGACAAGATCGCTTGGCAACCCTTGTGGATTCTCCTTCTTCTGGAGGCGAATTATAGTTATGGATTTATTGTCCCGGTGCAGCACTTCCACCAGCAGCAGCAACAGCAGCAGCTTTCTGACTCTCTTCGGTGACGGGTATTCTTGGGTGGATAATACGGATTACGTTGTTATTGCTTAAGAATACGCGTAGTCGAGGAGAGTACCGGCGGCGGGCAGGCAGGCAGGCAGCGCGACCGCCCCCAGCCCACCAGCTGGCTCCTCACCTCCTCTAGTTGCCAAGGTAGCACCTTTTCCATCTTTTCCTACGCTTTGCAATGTTTCATTCTGTGTCTCTGCCCGGGCGGGGGGAGCTCGAACGCCCTGTCTCTTGCGGAGGGGGTGCCCGGAGTGTGTGTGTGCGTGGGAGCAAGCCCAGGGCTGGGCCAGCTCCTCGGCAGAGGGTGGCCGGGGGAGCCGCGGCCGCTGCGGGCTGCGCCTTGGCGGGCAGCGCTCCTTAGGCTGCTCCGGGGCCGGGGGGAGGCTCTCGCCCCGTGCGGGCAGCCCCGGTGCCCCGGCACTCGGTCGGCAGCCCCAGCCCGCTCCGTCCGCGGCCCCTCGCCCCTATCCGGCGTGGGGCGCGGATGGGGATGCGAGGCGGCCGGCCTCGCCCGCCAGGGCTCCCTCCCACCGGGACACGGGGTGCCCGCAGGGCCCCGGCTCCGTCCGCGCCCCCGGCAGAGCCCGGGCTGCCGCCCCGCCGGCGGGCACGGCCCCGGGCCCGCAGCAGCCGGGCCGTGCGGGGCTGGGGTGCCCGCGGGCGGGGAGTGCCGAGCACCCCGTGCTAGCGGGGCCGGGGAGGGACACCCGCACGGCTAGAGCGCCCCACGCCCGGGGAAGCCCCTTTTCCCCGGCTGCCGAGGGGTTCGGCCGTGCAGCGGGGCCGCTCCTGGGGAGCAGTTTGAGGCCGCTTGCTTTCAATGGGAGCAATGCCCCTCTTGCTCTTTTATCCTCACCCTGCAGCCTGGGGAGGGCAGGATTAGGAATCCACCTTCACACCAGCTCCAGCCCAGCAGAGCTTATCAGCTTCTGAGGCCCCAGATTGAGACACACGTTCAGGGCCAAAGCTGAGGGGGGTTTTTTCCCTCTGCAGCTCAGGTGGTGGCTTATTTGTGCCCTTTTCTAGAGTTTAGGACTCCTGAAATGCTACTTGCAGCTGGACAGGTGGGAGACGCAACTAAGGGATGTTGATTCCCATAACTGGCCAAGACGTGCCCCATTGCTTTAACACAGAAAAATTGCATCTGTCCTTCTCTCCAGTCTCAGCAGCAGGGTACAGGATTTGGTTAAAACCCTGATCAGTCTTTCAGATGTTGTGCTTAGGAAAATCCAGGCATAGCATTCATAGTTCTGGTCTTTTTCCCCTGCTCCTCTGCCCACAGTCCTGGCAGAGAAAAGGAGCAGGGTGTGATCGTGCCTGTGTTTTGTCATTCAAGGCCTCTCCACATGCCCATATCATCCTAGGTCTTGTTGCCATGAAGTCATAATTGTGAGACCAGATTTCAGCCTTAAGTGAATTAGATCAGAAGCCATTTTAAAGCAAGACCAGGAGTCCTGTGATAAGACAGCCTTTTTAAATGCATCCTCCCCCAACCTCAGCTATGATGGGGCTAGGAATGATTTTTAATGTGGACAAGCCTGACGTGAGGTGATCATTGAGCGTGCAAGGTGGGCTGATGGAGAATGTCTTCCTCTCTGTCTCTTGCTTAGAGATTGAAAGGCTGTCGATGTTCTACTTAATAATTTCCAACAACTGCCAAAGCAATCTTAGTCTGTTGCCTTTAGTAGTGAGCGGAGCACTCGTTGTAACACAGACGTGTGGATCTGTTATTCTTTAGACACATCTTTGATGCTAGCACTCTGATCCTTGTGTTTCTCTAATACCACTTGAAAGCAGATTTTTTTTTCCTTGTAGTTTAGTATGTTCAACAGCCTCAGAAATAATGTTAAATTATGCTTTAAAAAGACACGATCAGCTGCTAAGTCATAGTCAGTTCAGCACCGTAACACAGCCACATTCACAAGTGCTGCAGGAACAGCGATAAAACACTATTTTAAAATCCAGATTTGTATTACAAACCTTCCTCTGGTTTTACAGAGCTTTTAGTTTACGTTTTCCATTGAGTCACGACTTAGAATATTATTAAGAGTTCCCATTTCATCACATAAAGGGCGTGGATTTGTTTGCTCTTTGCTTGATTGAGTACCTTGTGTAGTATGTATTGGACTGGTACCCGTAAATACAAGCTTAGCAAATGGTTCTTCATACTGGGTTTCTTCTAGTTGCTTTCTGTAAAGCATGGTGAGATGGTTTTGCTGAATAATGCCTTAATGACATGGCTGATGCATTTTTAATGCATGTACTCTTTGTCATTGTCAAAATTAACATTTTGATGATTGTAGATTTCTCTTCTCCAAAATCTTTTGGGAATTGATATGCTATGAGGACTAAAAGAGTGAAAGCGTAGGATCTGACTGGAGAAATACTGGATATGCTCACCAGAATGATTCTAGAATATTGTGTAAATGCTCAGTGTGGACTCTTGGATGATGTTTCCCAACAGCATGACCTCAGAGGGACTCCCCCCATTTATTAGCAGTTCCAGGGGTCTGTCACATATACATATAGAAGGACAGAAGGGATCATTTCTGAACAGCAGACATCTAAGTGGTGACTGTTCGTACTATGGGTCTGATCCTGGCAATGCATGCAGCTTCTGTGGGACTGCTCAGGAAAGCAAGCTTGCTCACATTGAATCCAAAATATTTAGGGCCAAATCCTACTATCCAGTGCAATAGTGAAGTCCCAATTGATTTCACTGTGGGAAAGATTAGACCCCTACTGAAAGAGATTTTTTACAATGCCACACTTCCTACTTTGCTTTAGAAATTGCAAATCCTGTGTGCTAAAAAAATTAACTCTAAAAGCTCTCTGCCTCTAGTAGTTTAATGATATTTCATTAATGGAAAAAATTACTCTAAAAGTTTATAGTGGAACATAGTAAGAAATTACTTTATAAATAAGGGGGTTTAATTGTACCAGTATGAGCAATTCCTAAGACATTTTAGAATGAGGTTTGTGGCAGAACCAACTGTGCTTTAACAGCTATTTTGGCGAGGGCATATTTAATTAATTCAGAATACTAAGTTTCTGTTTTAAAATGGATTTTGTAATCTGCATCCTGGTAGAAAATTAAATTAAAAAATTACCCCAAAAATAATTACTTGAACTTAGCCTTGTCTTTAAAGGCCATAATCCTATGAAGATTTATATCTCTGGGTAATTTTCTCCACTGGAGTAGCCTTGGAGGCTGCTGCCATAGGTAAGTCTTTGTCACGCCAGGGCCCTCCAAGCGGCACAGGCGGTTGGTGGCAGAGCAGACGCTGGTGTGGCAGCAGCCCTGGTGCAGCGCAGGTGACACTGTGACACTGGCTGTCCCCCACCCTGGTCTCCCTTCCCAGAGCAGGGAGTTGCCCAAGGGCCGTGTCCCCGGGCACAACGGGCGCATCATGCCCCATGGCAGGAGTGGGAGTACAAAGAGTCGTTTTGGTCCCTGCTGTCCTGGGCAGGCAGGGTCACAGCCCTGCCTGGGTCTGCCCAGAGTGAGAAGCATTTCTCTGCTTAGCTGTACCCTAAATTAAGTGCTAGGGACTGCCGTTGGACTTCAAGTGCTCTTTCCAGAAATAATTAAAGCTACAGCCCTTATGTATGTATATATCCCTGAATAGTATAAATATACATACATACACACAGGCACCCCTCTCTGAATTCAGAGAGGCTAGAGCATAGCAGAGAAGCCCCATTCTCCCAGACCTGACTGAGGCACAACACCTACTCACCTCAGCAGGGGCTGTGCTGTTGCAGTGTGTATTTATGACCTGTGTTATGATTCCTCTTGCTGCTGCAAATTTGCCTAAAATAAATGCCCACAGTGTTGCATGTAGATGTGTACAGTTATGCAGATGCTTTTACTTTCTGCTTTTAAGACTACATATGATTTTGAGGGGAGTGTAAGTTTTCTTACCATAACAAGTTATTGTCTTTCGTGTCAGTTTAGGTGGCTTCTAGTGTTCATAGGGTTTTCTTGAGGAAGCTGAAAACATCTATACATCCACACAGCTCCACACATACTTTGCAGCTGTGAGAATAAGCTAACCAGCCTTTTTCTCTGCCTTTTTACTTCACGCTAGCTGTAATGTGCACAACAAATTTTTATGCACTTTTTAAAAATAGATCACCTCTTTACATACACAAAAGGCTTTTTCTTCTCTTCCTTTTAATAGATTACTATTTTTCTGAAAAGCATCGCCCCCAGGTATTACCCATAGCTGTTATGACACCTCACTATTTAGTGTTGTCCTGGTAAATCATAACACTCATTATTAAGAGCCATAAATTTTTACCAGAATCATCATCTACGTCCTGAAAGCTTTAATGGTAGAAACATTTCCTGGGCTAACGCCCATGATGATTACATGCTTTTTATTGCTATCATTTAGTAACCAAATTGCTCAAAAATCAAAGGACTTGATTATCCCATACCTGCAATGCATAGTGCTATTTATAAATGTTGGCTCGATAATAACAATGACTCAAAAGAAATTTAAATGACAGGCCAAAAATAAGTAGTCTAAAAGTAAAAAATCAAGCCAGAATTCATAGAGGTGATAGAAAGAGTCTGACTGCAAAGGACAGAGAGGATCCTGAGGAAGGTAAAGAGTTTAGGAGGTGATGGTAGAAGGTAGATGTGACCCAGCTTTTTCAGAGCCAGAGGAGAGGTGAGGCACCAGGGACTGTAGGTGAGGAGGCATCGCAGAGTGGCGCTGGAAGTATGTACCAGAAGTGTTGAAACCAGGGCTGGAACATCACACAAGTTTGGTAGTTTGCTTCCTGGAAAAACAGTATCTAGTTATAAGCAGCCAGCAAAAATTTAGGTGAAATGTTCCAGAAACTAGAGCGGGTTGATTGATGGGAAAAATAAGAGCCTTGAATATATGCCTGAAAGGTGGTTTATATATATATTTATATATATATATTTATATATATACACACACACACACACACACACACATATATATGACTATACATATCTAGCCAAAATTACATTATAATGCCCATATAGATAAATGAAATGAGTATCCTGCTTTTGAAATCGTTCTCCTGCAGAAACCAGCAGGCAAGCAGTGTAGCCTGGTGTGTGCAAATTGACCTAGAAGCTATGTATGGAGAAAATGCAGCATGGC